CATGAGATCAGGGCCCTTGCTGCGTCATGGGCCCTCCTCAATGGGTCCCCCTTTCAGGAGGTCATGTCCGCAGCTTTCTGGCGCGGACAGACTACCTTCACGGATTTTTATCTCCGGTCCTTGGCCTCTCATTCTGATGGATTGTATTCCCTTGGACCGGTGGTGGTTGCACAGTCTGTGGCTGTTCCTCCACAGTAATTCAGTGATTTTAAATAGTATGCTATCAGGCACCACGGTGGTACACCTGCTCGTTTCACGGGGAGGTTTTCCATTTTTTAATTACTTTCGGGGCTTTATTAGGGGGGTTCCTTGAACCTTTTCCCTACCTTGAGCATGTCTCGAGTTTGTTCCGTCAGCCTGGTCTGCCTGGATTCGAAGCCTCCACTACGGTAAGACGAATTCGCATACTAAAGTTATGGTAATTATTACTGAAATGAAATTGAGGTTTTTGAAGTAAAACCAATTTTCATGATGTAATACTTACCATAACTTTATGGAGTCCCACCCTGTATTCCTCCCCTTGCCTCCTCATCCTGGCTGCCTTTAGGCTCCATAAAAGGGGGTTTGAGGAAGGGAGATCACTCCGTGGCTCTGTCATCGAGATAGAGGTTACGTCACGGTAGGGAGGTAGGGATATTTGAATCTTTTGTTTTTGGGCTACAAAGATGGGTGTAGGTATTGTATATGCATACTAAAGTTATGGTAAGTATTACATCATGAAAATTGGTTTTACTTCAAAAACCTCAATTTAAAGTATTCATATCATTTGTTTCTACAAATTTCAACATTAACTGAAATAAAGATGTTTAATTTTAAAATATAACTTATTTAGAGAATTTTCACTATCATAATTATATGCGTGAAAAATATTTAAAAGAAAGATTTCCTTAAGTTCTATGTTCCAAGGTAAACATGAACAGTTTTAAAGAACAATCCTTGGTAATTAAGTCACATACCTAGTTGGTACTTGTCAAAATTGGGGAACTTGGTGATCATGACTTTCCTGAGAGCTGCCGGTATAGCACCTTGTCTGATAGTCTTGTCATGAAAGGCCTGCAAATAAATCATATGTCAGATTCTGATCTCAAGATGCTTAACAATGATTTTTTTTTCTCGTATTGAATAAAAATTGTAATAGAGAGAAGTTGTTTTAGTTCACTTCTAGAATTACCTTTTCATAAATATGTATAAGATAGCTCAGCAGAACTAATGTCAACACAACCTACCTAATAAATCTCTGCTACCTCTATCTAGTCACAGGGTCACTGTCCAGACAACCTACCTGGTATATCTCTGGTCACAGGGTCACTGTAGACAGGTGTTATTACTCACACAACCTACCTGGTAGAACTCTGCTACCTCTATCTAGTCACAGGGTCACTATAGACAAGTGTCACTGTCCACACAACCTACCTGGTAGATCTCTGCTCCCTCTATCTAGTCACAGGGTCACTGAAGACAGGCGTTACTATCCACACAACCTACCTGGTACCTATAGACAGGAGTTATTGCCCAGACAACCTACCTGGTAGATCTCTGCTACCTCTATCTAGCCTACCTAATAAATCTCTGCTACCTCTATCTAGTCACAGGGTCACTGTCCAGACGACCTATCTGGTAAATCTCTACTACCTCTATCTAGTCACAGGGTCACTATAGACAGGTGTTATTGCCCAGACAACCTACCTGGCAGATCTCTGCTACCTCTATCTAGTCACAGGGTCAATGTAGACAGGTGTTATTACCCACACAACCTACCTGGTAGATCTCTGCTACCTCTATCTAGTCACAGGGTCACTGAAGACAGGTGTTACTATCCACACAACCTACCTGGTACCTATAGACAGGTGTTATTGCCCAGACAACCTACCTGGTAGATCTCTGCTACCTCTATCTAGTCACAGGGTCACTGTCCAGACAACCTATCTGGTAAATCTCTACTACCTCTATCTAGTCACAGGGTCACTGTAGACAGGTGTTACTGTCAACACAACCTACCTGGTAGATCTCTGCTACCTCTATCTAGTCACAGGGTACCTAGAGACAGATGTTATTGACCAGATAACCTACCTGGTAGATCTCTGCTACCTCTATCAAGTCACAGGGTCACTGTAGACAGGTGTCACTGTCCAGACAACCTACCTGGTAGATCTCTGCTACCTCTATCTAGTCACAGGGTCGCTATAGACAGGTGTTATTGCCCAGACAACCTACCTGGTAGATCTCTGCTACCTCTATCCAGTCAGAAGGCAGGGCAATAGACTTGACGTAGTACTTCTTGAGGAAAGGCCGACAGGGATGAACATTTGCAGCCATTGCCAGAAGGAAGTTAGCAGTGGTGCGGATGTTGAGCTCCTTTCTAGTGTACAATGCCACCTAGAAAACAAAATAAGTAAGAGATGTATATCTTCTGGCAACATTAATATTCATTTGTACAGAGTTAACATTCCTATAAATATTGTACACACAGGAATGGCATTACCTTATTTGACATCTCAAAGGATGAAACTTGTCCAAAGGATGAAACTTGTTCAAAGGATGAAACTTGTCCAAAGGATGAAACTTAAATCAAAATCAACTATCTCTTTTCTATCACTTTGATTTGATGTAAATGAAAAAAAAATTACGGTATTGATATAAGATGTATGTGTTCTACTGTATATATCATTAATTTTCACGATTGTGTTTTAAATGACTTGGTCGTAAGGGATTGAATTTGCGAAGGAAACAACAGTTACAAATTCATTGTTAAATATGTTTTTAAACAATGTTTGTAAGACATTTAAATCTGTGATCAATTGTTAAGATAATAATCTAATGGTCACAAACCCTGAATCAACAAATTACTGTATAGGACACAAACTTGAAGTAATTAGCATAACTAACCTTGAGGATGAACTCTGGGTCAAAGGGCACAACTCTATCAGCCATATTGCTCAAGGAAATTCTGGTTAAGTCTTTGGAATTTCTGAAATTTGGCTGACAAATCAGGGACCCACTCACTGCATTGATGAAGGCAAGCTGTAAAGAGAAGCAACATATAAAGTATGTAGTAGATTGTGTGTAACAATAAATTAAGGACCCATAACCCTGATTTCTATCAAACAAGCCAGAAAAAAATGCAGTGGACTTCATTTTGGAAAAGGCTAGCACTATCAATGAAGCAATATTCTGATCGTGCTATTCGATTACAGGGCTTTCAATAGACCCCTGAGAGTATGTTTTTGACTCTCCAATATAAGCTTTGACTGTTGGGTTTGAACCTTGGACAGGTCTATCTGACATATGTTTCCACTTTCCAAAACTCAGGAAAAATTCAATTCAAACCGCTAAATGTCCAGGGTCAACTGAAAGCTTTGTACTCATTTCTTTGTTTAAATCACACCTGTCAGTTGACATATGAGGTTACTCTATTTCTATGCAAACAAAATTAACATTTAAGATTTATTTTTTTACTCTGTGTGTTGTTTTTGTAACTTTTATTCCATACCATCAATCAAACATGTCTGAAAAGGCAAGCTAACCAGTGATAAACAGTTTGTTGTTTGTTGTGATGTTTTGCAAAGTTAATTAAAATGTACCTTTACAGAAGACCATACCTTCATTCCATTGGAATGTACCTTTATAGAAGAACATACCGTCATTCCATTGAAATGTACCTTTATAGAAGACCATACATTCATTCCATTGAAATGTACCTTTATAGAAGACCATACCGTCATTCCATTGAAATGTACCTTTTTAGAAGACCATAAATTCATTTCATTGGAATGTACCTTTATAGAAGACCATACCTTCATTCCATTGGAATATACCTTTATAGAAGACCATACATTCATTCCATTGGAATGTACCTTTATAGAAGACCATACATTCATTCCATTGAAATGTACCTTTTTAGAAGACCATAC